AAAAACATGGCCCTCAAATTTTGTAGTTTCTAATTGTTTGGATCGCTATTTATCTAATTGAAAATGTAGAAAATTAATTAAAAAATCATTCAATTTTCTAGCACCAACAAAAATTCTTGGGTAATGGAAATAATTATTAACTGAAACTGAAGAAGCCAACAAAATGATTGGCAAACGTTGGCATCCATAGGAGGAATCTGGATGATTTGTAGTTTTCTTGTACAGTAGCCCCTGGTAGTTTCTTTGAAGTACTATTTCATATTTTTGATGGTTTTACGGCAAATCTTCTTTATTAATGTGTGGAGGTTTTCGAGATCTAAGGTTGGTTCCTAATAAAATGAAAGGTGCCACTAACAGAAATGTCATAGCTATTTTGAATTTTCACCTGCTGGATGATTTTGAAAATTATTTTAGACATCCTTGTAGTGTGGTGTGGTCGAAAAGATGAAAAAGGTGAAAACTGGTCTAGATAGCGTATATATCCATAGCATCCGGTGGCGTAGTCAGGCTTAGGGATAGACTTTTCAAAAATAGGAATCACATAAGAGCTATGTCAAACACAAAGCTTATATCTTTAATTTCATTTTGTTTAAATACGGATTTTATTACAGAACATAAATAAATAATAATTAGAAAAAGTTAGTTACCAGAAAAAACTATTTGTGCATGTGTTATAATGTTCTAGCCTTGTTAATAAGGGAGATATTCCGTAAAACCACAAAAATTTGGACATACTGTACATAATAAGTAATTCTTTCCATAGCCCCAAGAATTTTTACATTTACTTATAGAAAATTTGTAATTTGTAATAATTTGTAATAAATGTGACTTTGGGATTGTTTTGTTTTTAATGAACTACTGGAAAATAAACTAATCAAGGCAGTAACAAACGCTACTTCTAGTCTTCTGATTATAAGAAAAGATTTTGCTTCTCTTGGAAAAGTACATATTAATTTAAAATTTAAACTAGGTGTATTTCAAACTTCGGATTTACTTCGCCAGGGTCAGTGATTAAAAAACTTCTTTCGTTTCTACCATACTAACCAAGACTGCAAAATTTGTTGAGAATGTTTTAACGATACAGCACCAACGAAAATGTGAACAAGCAAGTTTGCATTTCTTAATGATGAAAGCGAGCTCTGTATCACACCTAATGGTAAATGCTCTACTGACAAATCAAACATCACCAGATTCAAAGGTAAAATGGTGGCAATTACTCCTCCGCGCTTGAATAACTTACGCAACGCAAGCAAACATTATTGCGAGATTTGGATACCTGGGATCCCTGTAATCATATCATTAGGATCGAATTTAAACATGTAACTATGCCTCGGTCGCTTTCGATAATGCTTCTGTGAAAGCGGCGCTGAGAATGAAGCCATAACGGTGTCAAGAAAGAGGGATAAAAGTCGGCGAATCATACTAGTTTTTATTTATGAAACTATGCTGCAACTACAATTAAACCTTCTTATAAAAATAACTAAAAACGGTTTTGTTTCGAAGAATTAGAACTGTTTCACCAAAATTAAAATAATTAAAAGTTCCAATAATCATAATTATTTCACAAAACGTGAAAACTGCCAGTTATGTCCCCTTTATGTTATTAATTTTTTAATTCTCCCACCATGGACTTAAAAGAATATCTAGGACCGATACTAATAATAACTATGACTTATTTAAGTGTATATGAAATTTTTAAGTTTTTGAAGGAAAACCCGATAGCTCTTACAACTTTTAATTCACGCTAGATCTGTACATGCGGAGTTCCTCATATTTATGATGTTTTAGGCATCAATATTATTGTTTACTTGTAAAGTCCAATCCGTGATTTAGTCTATGGCATCCGCCTTGCTACATTGTTATCGTTCACTCTCTTGAACATTTGTTGTAACTATTATATCACATAACACCTTATTAGGTGCAGTACTTAATACAGTTAACTTTTTTCCGTATTTTGTCAAGTCAGGACCAAAACATGTTTTAAAACATTATTCGCACATCCCCTCAAATAACGTCTTCTGGATATACATGCGGGACAACCGAACTGTCTAAACTAGCTAGAGAGGTGTCGTAGGTGCTTAAACTACAATAAACGCTTTAGTTCCAAGTTCGTGGCGAGTCAAGCTCGGAGATGAGCGGTAGGTAAAGTTTCTCAGATCTAATTTTCCTCTGATTGGTAGCTCATGTACCGAACTTTCATGGCGCGTGCTCCGGCAGTGGCCGCCGAAAAGGACAATCTGACAGATTGAGCAGAAACGGGCCACAGCTTAAGAATTATCTAAAGATTCAGAAAAAAAATTCTTAAAAGAGTTTGAGAAATTAGTGACACTTATTTTTAATCATAAAACCTAGCAATATTTTTTTGTATTAAATTTAAATTGTTAAAAGAGTTGTTTGCGAAAATGATTTAAGACAATATGAGATAATAGAGGGACGGGCAATGCTAAATTAAAAATTAAATATTTTTGTTTATGATCAATAGTTACAGTATAAAAAATCAACCAAATATAGACAAGACTCACAAGAAGAAAAGACAAAAAGGATTAAGTTTACATTATGGGAAAATTGCACAAGCTGAATCATGTGTTGCACAACCCTGGTTTAGAATAATAAAAATAATGAAAACAGAGTAAAAAATGATGAAGCTACTACTAAATGTCACACACCAACTTGCACTTTTTGCAATTTTCTCTCCAAGTTGCGATATACATACACTTTAACATAGTTTTTCAACCAAAATTTAATGGCACCTTTGCATATTTTATCAAATCAAATGCCACCTTCAGACGGCGTCCATGTTGATTTCAAACTATTGGCGCAAGCGCATACGGAATAACGGCCATTTTTTTTATGTTGGCTTTAAAAATGCCTATGTCGTAAGCGTAATCCAGGACTCTATATCTCTATTAACGAAACGGAAAAAACCAAGAGATGAAATTTTAAATAAAATTGAATGGAAATTTCAAAAATAAATTGTATATTGAATGGTAAATTTTTTAAAAAACAAACCTTTTCCTAAAATTTTCGTCTCCAGATTTGTATGATATGTTTCTATGTATATTATATTATTTATGTTATTATTTCTTGTTATTTTGTTTTTTATTTTTTAATAAAGACATTTATTGTCATTTAGTTTTGGTTACTCTTGGTTACTTTATTGCCCCCAGTAGAAAAAAATATACAGCGTCCCGCTCTATAAAGTAGGACCGAGCTAAGGCGCAAACTGAAATTTTAATTTCAATGTCACCCTGATTTATATCATAGGGGCCCATTTGAACAACATTCAGATGGCGGACCAAAAGTTTAACATCCGACGGTTTTAATAATAGTCACATTTGACGATGACGGTTTCGCAAATTAATCTGATTAAACCGAGCCGAATAAAATTGAATTCCGACAGCGGATCCAATCTGGGAAAATGACGTCCTTTCGTCGTTCAGCTTCGGTCGAATTTCGAAATTATCGAGAATTACAATCAAATTTCGTCCTAAGCGGTGGTAATGGATGGGAAATTTGTTAGCGTATTCGGTCGAAAAACAAAGACTATTCGGAATTCGAGGAAAATTGAAATTTAATACAAACTGGTGATTCAAACAACGAGACCTTGTAATCTGGAATTCGACCAACAAGTAATGTGGATGAGTCAAGTAAATGCCATTTAAATTAATTCACTTACTTTAATTTACTTTACTTTGAGTTATACGTGTTATGCTAAATTTTCATTAGGTACCTTATTTTAGATTGCAGCTTGTAATTTGTTGATTCTCTGTAAAAATGTAAAAATAGCCAATAAAGTATCTATTTATTAATCTACCTATGTTTCTATCTATCAATCTATTTATTACGCAAATTTGATTGAACTTGAGTTTGGTGCTTTTGGTTTAATCGGATTATACCATGCCAATATGTTTATTTTAACAAGAAAATTTCAGCCACATGCGATGCGGCGGCTGATGTCCCACAGAGAAGCAAGCACGCAGATGATAAAAAAAAGTAACAAAGGACCATAAATTGCAAATCATCCCTTCACAGAAGAAAAAGTCGAAGTGCAATCCCTTCCTATAAAACCCTATGCAATATCGGACTCAAACTCATAACCGCAGTCTAACATGCTGCCATATTTTACCAATATCATGTTATAACAAAGAAGTTAGTGGATATTTCAATAGCAGTTTTGAAAATATAATATTAAGTTATAATTATTTTTTTTGTGTGTTCTACGTCAATTTACTATAATTTCTAAATGCATTTTAGTATATTCTTTATCCTCTATACTACTTACTCGCTTAATTTTTTAAAAATATGTACATGATTTTAAAAACTTAAGTAGGGAACGATTTCTTCTTTCATTGTTTCATTTTTAATATTTTTGTTACTACTATTCTGTTGCAGAACTTAACAGCATTTCTGAGTTCATCGCATAAAATAGGTTAAATAAAGGCCAGTTAGATTTACCATAATAATATTGATGTTCACGTTATTTTGTTGTTACAATACCGCTGTTAAGTTACAAAACGTCCAATTATTACTTTTATTATTATTATCATTATTATTATTATTATGATCAGACGAAGTTTGTAATTTTCTCGCAATTTTCTTTCTACAAAGGTTAGGTGTGTCAAGGAACGAACTCAGGAAATACTTCACATTTGCTATAATCTCAGCTTATTAGCATATCACAACATCTCATCGACACACATTAATAACAATAATTTGTTAAAACTTAGTAACTTAGAGTTTGCATATTGACTGCAAAATTTAGCATACATTTTAGTTAGTGTTGCGTCCTATTCTATCCACCTTTTATTGATTTGATTAGTCAATAGTTCGAATGAACTACAAATTCCAACAGTTGGTGCAAATTAGATTATATGTATTACACACCACTGGCTTGCATAGAATGAAACATTTGGAACAGACAATTTTGTGTGATGGTAAAAAACGCCGGCGGTTTCTATATATGACTTTCCGAGAACTGATATTATATGTATTGTTTTCAGGATTTCGTCGACGCGAAATGCCTGCAACGAGGGACGCTACTTTCATTTTGACTTCCATGGTGATCATCTTAAACGCTGTTTCAGCCGAAGTTGTTGAGGAAACGAGCGCGAAAACGACCAAGTGCAAAGTGTCGGAGTTCGCGTGTGCTAACGGAAAATGCATTCCACTCAACTACTTTTGCGATGTCAAAAACGACTGTGGCGATTCATCCGACGAGCCCAGATATTGCACTAGTAAGCATATGTATCAATTGTAGCAAAACTAGCGTTAAATGCCCTGCTAGTGATTGCGCTATAGCTTTTTACAAATTTCGTATCAAGCGAATTATGATTTTTCGGAGAGAATTTGGAACCATTCTCTTCCCAGTGGTCAAACGTATCCAAGTCTAAGCATGTATTTTGGTTGCAGGAAAACTACTGTTAGGGATGGTACAAATTGACCTATTATCGACAAAATTATGATTTTTCTTAGCTAGAACACTAGGAAAAGCATTATCATTATTTTGCGATTTCTACCTTTATTTTAAAATCCCACCAGGGGTATGTCTGCAATTATTTGAGTCCTGTCCTCTCATGCACTAATATAATACCAGAATATTTATGACCGGGACCAAATGTTTTAATACATACTCCTGTCTTGTATGAGTAGAAATACATTAATCATGACCCAGTTACTCATAAATTTATTAATACTCAAACTGCGTTGTAGGACATCCGCGTAAAGGAAGGATAAAATGAAGAAAGAAACCATAAAAACACATAACCAATTATCTGGAGGCAGCCAAAATGGGCTTATTTCCGTTCTAAGAGAATAAGATTTACATCCAAGACACGTAAACTGTGAGAAAACTTTCTACCAAATCATTACGAAATTATCCATTACTCAAAATCGAAAAGGAAATGTCGAATATGTTTGCCGAAAACAAACACCACAAACTTTTGTACCTGAAGTTTTTCCTCTAAAAGTCGAACGAAAAAAGTTTCGATCAATCTTAGCCGGTCGGCAAATCTTTAGAATGTATTAAGTCGACACCCCTGGGCATTATTTTCGCCAAAACGTTTTTTTTTAAACGCAACATTCGAAATAAAACCATTCTTAGCGTTTAAATAAAACACTATTCCTTTTTTTATCGCGATAACTACCTCATTTTCGTTCATAATGGAAACAATTCTTCGAATTCTTCTATCTTTCCGATCCCCCTTTGCCCAGTAGTTTACTAATTGGTTTCTTTTTTACCTTAATCTGGTCATCCATCCATTAAAATAATATTCTGCTAACCTAAAAATACAATAAATTATAAATCGCAACTACTACATGTGTTAATAGTAGATAATACAGGGTCTATGTGTCATATATCCTATGCTAACCTAAAATTTGCGCCGAATAGCCACACTTAACTCGTTTTCCTTAAAGTTCCAACTGATAACAGTTGAACTGAGTATCAGCAGCCATATTGATGGCTGAACGCTGGATCGTATTGGTTGAAAGTGAGATTTGAAATGGTTATTGATTGCAAGCTAGTTTTGAAATGTATGAATGTAAGCGTTTGTAAAGTTCAATTTTATCGGCTATATTATATATTTTTGAAAAAAAAAGGCTTACAGGGATTTTAAGATTTCTGTTCCCTAAAGATTTTAGTTGGAAATGCAATATAAAAATGAAACCGAGAGAAAGGATTCTATGTTGCCAAATTTTTTAACAGCATCACTAATGAACTAATGAATACATTATTCGGATCTTCACAGTCAACTGACAAAAAAACGTGTAGTACATTTCATTATTGTACCTGTTTGAAGATTTACTATTATTTCTAATAAAATGAATACAAAATAGCGTCGAATAAAAAGATCAGTTGAAGAGGCCACATTCCCAATTTGTTAAGCAAGTATTTTTGTTAGTCTAAATAGCTGAATTAATTTTCCGTTAGAAAACTGAAAGGGATCGGTTTAAATAAGTACATCAAAATCGGCATTGACAATATCATACCACTACGCAAGTTGGTTAAGGTCCTCCATTATTATTGCGATTTTTGAATAGATAATTATTTAGTGGTAAAAATATCGTGAATAAATGACCAAAAAAAAAACAAATCTGGCGGGTCTTTTTTTCCCAATTTCTCATCATTCAATAAGAATAAAATAAATGTCTCACAACATTTGAAGAAAACACCCCTACTTTTTCAAGAATAGTGATCCGGCTGTATATTTATTTTTTATTAGATGTGTTGATAGTTGTTTATAAATCTTCCACCATATGCATCTACTCATTGACAATACTTACTGATGAATGGATAATAATAACTACACACCCCACAAAAATATTTATGACAGACACAGACAATAACTGTGTGTTTGTTTAGTCATCGTAAAAAATCTGTTATCGGTTTAAGTAAAGTATTGCTTATCCAGTGGTAAGTTGTTCAAGTTAGGAACGGGCGAATTCAGCGATTCCGAAATAAAGCTTTCGATTCGAATTATTACAGGTTTATTATTTATTAAAAATTGAAGAGTTTTTTTGGGACCACTTTTGCCAAATATGAAACTGTCCTGAGTAGTACTAATTTATTGAGCTGCTTAACGTGCATTTAATATTTTTGATTAATACAAAAAAGAAATTATCTCAAAATTTTAAATTTTTCTAATAAATAGAGGACCTATAATATGAGGAAGAACGAAAAAAAAATGTGTTCATGCAATTGGATAATTAAATTACTAATTTTCCACCATTGCTCGTTAAAAATATCCATTGTTAGTTAAAAGGCTTTTCTCGCAAATAATTCGCCAGAATAGCGTCCGCCTACTTCCTGCACCTACAATGTCGATAATGAAAAACTTTTAGTGAAATTTTGTACGCTCCAAAGTTCTAATCTTCCCACCATCGTTAAGTTTTAGTACGGAAGGTGGATTAACGAAATTTATAGGAAAAGTTTTTTAACGGCGGCCTTCACAAACTCCTGCAATTACAACTTCGGGTATTTAAGAAGAGGGGTGCCTATCTGTCTCAACATCTAGGAGCTGGCGGTTCATTTCATCACAATTCAAACTGCGCCAAATAGCGCTGGAGTTTTTGAACTTTTCGACATATTGCACTGTTCAGATTGTCAGATTTTAATAACTATTGGAACAATTGATATCTTTGGCATCGCGTATTGAAACGATAGCGAAAAGTATGTCGCGCGTTTTAAATTTGTTGAAAACATACAAATAGAGAGATAGATGGTGATAATATTTCATTTAAAAAACTGAAGCTCTAGCGTAGCAGTCCATACAGGCTGTGTGCATTTAGCATTTGTTGCTTATGTCGAATTTGACTAAAACAATTTCGGTGACCGTAAATATAAAACGTCACTGGGTTCAAAATTGCTTTATTTCATTGCAAAAGAAACATCAATTAATTAATATGACAACATATACTTAACTGTTTACTGACCAATGAGATGATGTATCGACGGAATTTTTTTTGATTTTTGCAATTAATATACTGAAAAGCTTTTTTAAGATTATATGTAGATGATAAAAAGTAAATAAAGCAAATTTTTGTAATTTACCTAGTATCGTCCGCTTATTTTCAACAAGGACTGATCCGCTGCTCAATTTTGACCAATTTTTTTTTATCTTAAAATTCATATTATTGGAATAGGTGCGTTCAATTTATCTTGATAACATTTTTATTGGCTGTAACTTTTTTGTTTTAAGAGATATCAAGGTAAACAAAAAAACAAAATGTATTGTTAGTGTCCAAGTTTATTGCAAGTAATGTATAAAGCAAAACACTATCAATTTTCTCACATATAAGTCTACATCGTATTTTCTTAAACGTAACCCCCTGTATATTACAAACGTGTTTAATAGAATATATTATTCCGATTACAATGATGTAACAACACACTTCATATTTTAGTCAACTCGTTTTTGAAAAATCGGCAAAAATAAGCAATTTGTATATAATTTAAAAGAGTGTCGTGGCTGACTGCAACAACAATAATTATTTACAAAATAAAGTAGAACACTAAAAATAACAAGACACACTGAAGTAAAAAATTCTTTAACTATTTTAAATACTGCTATATGCGACCACCATTTTCCTTAACACATTTCTCATACACTGTAATGGTATAATGCCTTGCATTTAGTAACGCTTCCCAATTGTCTCTTAACTGATTGATTGCCTCTGAAATCCTTTGGCAAACGGTCCACGACAAGGAGTTCTGTGCACGTCATTTTTTATGTGTCCCCAAAAGAAAAAATCCATTAAAGGTAAGTCGAGGCTGTTGGCTGGCCAATCCATAGTTCCGCCATTCCCTATCCAACCCCTGAGATATATGTTAAGAAAAATTTTAACTGTCTTGCTACCATATAATCAGCGCTGATATAGTAAGGTGTAAATCTTCTATATATTGTTCAATTTGGAGCTCTAAGAGTTGCAAAAATGGTCTTCAGTTGACTTTTGATCTATAAATGTCGGATTTAAATTATGCCCATTACCATACATCAATTGATTTGTACCCCTAGGTTTTTATTTCGTGTATTTGTGTCGGAATCTTTAAAGACCAATATCACGTATTTGGTCAACCCTTTCTTATGGTTAAAATGTTTCTCAAAAAATTATTATATTCATTATATCTATTTAATAAATCCCAATAAAATTACATCCTCATATGACATTGTTCTGCACTTAGTTTATGAGTTTTAAGAAATTTAAATGCATTATATTCACATTCTTTCACAACTGAGTGGAACCGAGAAATACCTGTCTCTTCATCTACTCTAGTAATAGAGGAAACTGGATGTGCTTCATAGAATCCTAATATGAATTATTTTCTTCATTTAAAACATTATGATTCCGGCATACCTTTTTAGCATTTAGGACGTTATCGTTTTCTGGAAATATCTGTTTTGAAGGAGCTCAGCGCTCTGGAAAAAGTCCATACTGACGACAAGCTGCGGTTGCACTTTTATTATTCAGACAGTATGCTTGAAGCATATCACTCCTTTCACGGATGCCAACTTCGCGAAAAAATATTTTAACAATAATGACTTGGACAATAATTCAACCATGAACATTGTTTACTAATATGTCAAGGAAACATATTTTTATTTGTCAGTCAAGGCACTCTTTGAAATTATATTAAAATTTCCTATTTTTGCCGATTTGTCAAAAACGAGTGGACTAGACTATAAGGCGTGTTACATCATTGTAATGGGAATGAACAATTCTATTAAACACATATATA